CCTTCCAAATTCAAAGCCACCAGGGGAATTACTTTTTTTTTTTTTTTTTTTTTTGAGACAGTGTTTCACCATGTAGGCCAGGTTGGTCTCGATATCCTGACCTCGTGATCTGCCTGCCTCAAGCTCCCAGAGTGCTGGGATTACAGGCGTGAGCCACCACGCCTGACCTGGGAATTACTTTTACATCAAATCCCTTGCACACTTTGCCTCTCTTTGTATTCCTGTCTCTGTCCATTCCAGCCTTATTGAAAGGGCTCATGTGATTAGATTAGACCCACCTGGATAATCTCCTTAAGGTCAACTAGCTTGGGACTGTAATTATTCCATTCTTGAACCGCTATAAAGAAATACCTGAGACTGGGTAATTTACAAGGAAAAGAGGTTTAATTGGCTCACAGATCCACAGGCTGTATAGGAAGCATAGTGGCTTCTGTTTCTGGGGAGGCCTCAGGAAACTTATAATCATGGTGGAAGGCAAAGGGGGAGTGAGTCACTTCACACAGCAGGAGCAGGAGGAAGTGGAAGGAGGTGCCACACACAATCAGATCTATGAGAACTCATTATCATGATGACAGCTCCAAGGGGGATGGTGTTAAACCATGAGAAACCACCCCCATGATTTAATTACCTCCCACCAAGCCCCACCTCCAGCATTGGGGATTATATTTCAACATGAGATTTGGGTGGGGACACAGATCCAAACAGTTACATCTGCAAAATTCTTCACAGTAATGCCTCAACTAGCATTTTTTCTTTTCTTTTCTTTCCTTTCTGTTTTTTTTTTTTTTTTTTTTGAACAAATAATTGGATGTTACACCAGGGAATCAGAATCTTAGGGACCATCTTAGGATTCTCACCACAGGGTAACATCAGAAATACACAACAATCAATACATATGAATTGCTAGAGTATTATTGTTTAGGCCTGTGGACTCAAGAGATTCCAATAGCTAAACTTCTTTAAAAGTGACCTTATTAGCTGGGCATGGTGGCTCATATCTGTAATCCCAGCTACTTGGGAGGCTGAGATAGGAGAATTGCTTGAACCGAGACCCGGGAGATGGAGGTTGTAGGGAGCTGAGATCTCGACACTGCACTCCAGCCTGGGCTACAGAGCGAGACTCCATCTCAAAAAAAAAAGTGACCTTCATCAGGATATTTGCCTCAGTTCACTTCAGGTATTGCCACACATAACTAATAGTTATCTGTCATCATATATCTGTCAGAGATACAGCAAAAACATACATTCCAAGTACTACAGAGAAGGAAAGGGGGCCTGAAATGTTATTTAGTGTCCACTATGAGTTCTCTACAGCCATCATGTCATTGCATCGCCATTCTGCTCCTGAGATGGTATCCGTGTCCCCATTTTCTGAGAATTCCAAGGCTCAAATTATTTAGTAGATGACAGTGTTGCAAAGCCAACACTGATTTCCAGCCATGAAACATGTAAACATTGAAGTCTCAATGTTAACCAGTATTCACATAATATATAATAAAATATACTGAAAAGGGAGGCAAGGAGAAACAAGAGTCAACTTGAAGGGCCTCCTACAGCTAAATCTGGGATCTGCATCACAAAATGATAGCAATGGATAACTCAGAATAAATTATTGCACATTAGTCTATATTGATATCAATAAATACCTGAATAAAGAAATTGGGTAAAAGGAAAGCTCTTGCTTTACGGCAGGGGTCCCCAGCCCCTGGGCCACAGACCACTTCAAGTCCATGGCCTGTTAGGAACGGGGCTGCACAGCAGGAGGTGAGTGGTGGGCAAGTGAGCAAAGCTTCATCCATATTTATAGCTGCTCTCCATCATCTCCATTATCACCTGAGCTCTGCTTCAGCTCAGGCGATAGATTTAGATTTAGAATAGCAGCAGCATTACATTCTCATAGGATTGCAAACCCTATTGTGAACTGTGCATGCAACGGATCTAGGTTGCAGGCTCCTTATGAAAATCTAATGCCTGATGATCTGCCACTGTCTCCCATCACCCCAAAACAGGACCATCTAGTTGCAGGAAAACAAGCTCAGGGCTCCCAATGATTCTATGTTATAGTGAGCTGTATGTTTCATTATATATTACAATATAAGAATAATAAAGGGCACAATAAATATAACACACTTGAATCATACTAAAACCATCCCCCACCCCCAGGTCTGTGGAAAAATTGTCTTCCATAGAACTGGCCTCTGGCGTCAGAAAGGTTGTGGACGACTGCTTTATAGAATTCCAATTAATGTAGAAGGCATGGTAAAAATAGAAAATTTTTCCTGATTCTCTCCGTCCTCCCACCCCCTACACTTCAATAAACCTCTGTGTGTTGTTCCCCTCTGTATCCATGTGTTCTCATCATTTAGCTCCCACTTATAAGTAAGAACATGTGGTGTTTGGTTTTCTGTTCCTGTATTAGTTTGTTAATAGCCTCCAGCTCCTGGATACTAGGCTTAATATCTGAGTGATGAAATATTCCGTACAACAAACCCCTATGACATGTTTACCTATGTAACAAACGTGTACATCCTGCACATGTACCCCTGAAAAGTCAAACATTTTTATCACCAAGCAAGAAGAATAGTATCTTTCTATACTCCTATAGACAAGGATATTACAAAATTATCATCCTATGAAAAGATTTGAGAGTAATCAGCCAAAAGAGGTAAGAAGAGAAAGCATTATAGAGATCTATTAGGTAGCTAAATACCTTTTAAGTAAGCTATTTTTCCTTCCCCCCCACCCCCCGAGACAGAGTCTTGCTCTGTCACCCAGGCTGGAGGGCAGTAACTATCTTGGCTCACTATAACCTCTGCCTCCCAGGTTCAAGCAATTCTCCTGCCTCAGCATCCCGAGTAGCTGGGATTACAGGTGCCTGCCACCACACCGGCTAATTTTTATATTTTTAGTAGAGACGAGGTTTCACTATGTTGGCCAGTCTGGTTTCGAACTCCTGACCTTGTGATCTGCCACCTCAGCCACCCAAAGTGCTGGGATTACAGGCGTGAGTTACCGTGCCTGGCCAAGTAAGCTATTTATCTAAACGGAAAAAAAAAAAAAAAAAAAAAAAAAAAAAAAAAGAAAATTACTATTTGACATATGCCAGAGCAGTAAGGCAAGACTCATCAATCCTAAAATTTGTCGGCAGAGTGTAAGAAATGGAATATTTACTTTCTCAAAGTATTTTCCCAGGAGGTAATAATTAATTATAAAAGGGAAAACAGTAACTTTACAAAAGAGATATCTGGTAGACACTATCTTAACCAAGTAATCAATGTTATGCTTACTGATGAGACAAGCTGACATTCTTGTGCCTGTTGACATGATGCACTGATATATCAACATCACTCACATGGAGTTCTTACCAAGAAGGCATATTGTTAAGAAACATCAGATGAACCAAAATCAAGGGCCATCCTATGAAATACCTGAGCAGTGCTCTTCAAAAAGTACCCAGATCTTGAAAAGCAAAGAAATTCTGAATTTTTTAAAAGACAACTAAGATATTATAACTAAATATAACATGTGAACCTGAATTGGATGCTGGGCTAGAAAAAGAATGGAACAATGGTAAAAGTTGAATAAAATCCATAGATTTTATAACTTTAAATTTTTGACATATATCCATTCTATGTCCTCATAATAGCATAAGAGAATTTTATCAATGTTAATTTTTCATAATTGTACTGTGGTAATTTAAGATGTTACATTAGGGAATTGGGGTGAAAGGTTATAAAACATCTAAAAGCCTACATTTTACCTCAGTTTACCCACAATGAAATTTTGCTGTTACTTCAAGTTTACTTAGTAAACAACTTCCTCAAAGGACAGAATTATTTTAACTTTCTCTCTTCTATATATAGATTGCCCCTGACTGATGGTTTGACAGGATTTTTTGGCGTTACCGAAGTGTGAAAACAATACAAATTCAGTACTAACCATGGGGTTATGTCCTGATAAACCCATCATAAGTTGAAAATATCATAAGCTGAAAGTTTCAATTCCAATTTCTATCCTGAAACTTCTAGAGGCAGTTAAAAACTTTAATTACAGGAAGCATCTTTATCCTAATGATTTTTTTAAACCTACCTTAAGGTTATCAGAATTAAACAAGATGATGCAAGTACTTATAACATTGCTTGACAATAAACAGTCTCTCTGAGGTAGATACTATTTATTATTTCTCATTTTACAGGTGAGAAATCTGAAGCTTGGAGATGAAAAATAACTGGCTTAAAGTTACATAGGTAGGAAGTGGCGTACAAGACTTTGAACCATGTCTGACCACAATGCTATACAGTTTGTCTTCTGTTCTAAAGCATTTTTATTAATGTCAACCCATTCTTCAACTCCTCAGTACACACAAAAAATCAAGTTTTTCTCTTTCCCTCTCATTGGCATTTACCATTTTTCTTGAATTTTGGATCTAATGTAATCAACAACGAAAAACACAAACAAGAACCAGTTATTCAATTACAAAGCCAACATTCTAGATGCAATACAAAAGTTAATTAACTAACTCACTGATACTCACATAACTCAAACACAAGTTGCAATTACTTTATTTCTTTAACAATAAAATAGTAATAACAACACAATAATTCAGTTGTAACAAAGCCACCAACAGAGGAAAACAAAAACAAAGCTAATTAAGAAGCACTGCTTCAGCTCAAATTAGTTATCTCCTTTAAACAGGAAAAATAACCATTAGTCTAGTGGTTCTCAACCCTGTCTGCACATTAGAGGGATGGAGGGAAAGAGGACTGGTGCTTAAAAAAATAGTTATATCCAAGACTCACCTCAGAACTATTAATTGAGAATCTCTGAAGAGTGAGGCTCCGGCAAAGATTTTTAAAGTGCTGTCAGTGTTGAGAACTACAGGTCTAAAGTAATAAGGAATAAAACCATGCCTTGAAACAATTCAAAACCAAGAAGCTGATCATATAATACATTTCTTTCCTCTAATCCTGGGAAAAGAGAGGGAAGCAGGCATCGACTCAGTTTTCACTGTTCTTTATCAATCTTCAGTCGCCCATAGTAGAGTTTAACAAACATCAAATATTGGAAGTTATGCAAACATGCTACCCAAGCTGAAATTCTCACTACTTAACATTTGAAAAGCTCTTTTAAAATAGCTTTTAAAACAATCCCCCATCTTAAGTTTGCATAGATGTTCAAGTCAGCTATTTGTTCAACTAACAGAGTCAACAGAATGTATTAGAAAGTACTTTATTAACAACAGTTATTATAAAACAATACTGATTTTATGTACTACAAATAAACTTTTTGGTACAGATAGGAGGAATATTGGAGTGTTTCCCACCTATTTCTAAAACTGCTAGAATTTATTTTCATCAGTACCTTCAATTCTAACATTTAAACAAAGCTTTTTTCTCTAAGAAAGCATACATAAAATACTTCCTTTACAACTGTACTCTATCCTTGACAAATCCCTATTAAGAGGTTCAGTAGTAATTGTAGGTATTTATTGTCAGAACAGTGTTTCTTTATTTCTCAGGTTTGGAAATATAACTTCAAGTATGGAAAATAACTTTTCCCTTAAGAATACATGAATTAATTTAGAGACATCTCCTCAAATCAGCCAATCCTACTGCTTTAGCTCCTTACGTCAGGACTCCATGTCAACCTCAGACCCTTCATTCTTGCCCTGAAGTGTTGCTTCTGTCAGGGTGTCTTCATTTAAATCTTCAATGTCTGCCAGATCAATAGGTGGCAAAGGATTCCTCCAGTACTGGAAGGTATTATACTGCCAAAATTCTTCATTGTGCTTTAGAGAAAAAGAAAAAAGATGAAAGTAGCTTAGAAAAAATTAACTTTTTTTCAGAAAACAAATTTGTTTGAAAAGCAAACATATAAGATTTTGTAGTCTATTTTGTATTTTTAACAAATACAAATTTTTAATTTTGTCTCATCTAAGTACTTCATGTACTCAATCAAATCTGTGCATTTAAATATTTATGATTTGTGAAAGTATTTAAAGTTAAAGGAATTTTCCACAATTTTCTCCCATTTTTCACCAAAAGAAAATTATCTAAAAACAGTCTTAAAATTTTTTATCTTTTAGTTAGGAAAATAAAAATTTAAAAATACAAACACACACACACTCCTTATAATTTACTTTTGGTCTTGTTCTTAAGGTTCAGTGTTTTAAGAGATTTACTTTACATAGGCCAAAATATTTTGAAACCTTCCAAAAAGTATTAGGCTATAAACAAGATGAATAGCAAGAAAATCTTAAACTGATCATCATTTTATTAAAGATTAAAAAAAAATCAATGCTCAATAGCCACATGACCTAGTGGCTAGTGTGCTGGACACACAGGTCTGTAAGAAAGTCTCATTAGGAAGTTCATTGTCTTCAATGCTGAGCCTTAAATAATTAAGTTTTGGGGTAATTTTTAATATTGGAGTAAACACGTAATAAGTCAAAGAAAAATTTGACTTTAATAAGAAAATGTGGTTAAAAACGAGGTTCTAGTTCTCTGCCTTTTGAAAAATCTACTGTACAAATTATCCACTTATAATCATAGACCAAAAAAAGGTCTTTTAATTATGTTAGTAAAACCTAGTGACTAAGGGCACAAACTTTGCCACCAGACAGACCTGGCTTTGCAAGATAACTCCACCACCCACTAACTCTGATCTTGACCTCATCGATAAAATGGAGAACTTTTAAAAATTAAGGCTTAGCATAGTAATTGCTAATATTGCTAGGTATTATATTCCAATAAGCCTATGATTATTAATCACTGTCTCCTTAGTAGAACACTTCTGCTTACTTTCCATTAAGAATATCTAACAGTGGCTGGGCATGACTACTTCTGTAATCCCAGCACTTTGGGAGGCAGAAAGATTGATTGAGCCCCCAAGTTTGAGACCAGCCCTAGCAACACAGCAAGACTCTGTCTCAATTTATTAAACAAAACAAACAAAAACTAACAGTAAGAGACAACACTGACAGAGCAATGAATCTGTATAGTAACACTAACATGAAAAAAGTACATGAGGCTGGGCATGGTGGTTCATGCTTGTAATCCCAGCACTTTGGGAGGCCGAGGCAGGTGGATCACCTGAGGTCAGGAGTTCGAGACCAGCCTGACCAATATGGTGAAACCCCATCTCTATTTCAAAAGAAAAAAACATGAATATTTAATGAATACCTGATTTTATTTCTCTAGTCAAAAAACATCTGAAACAACTTAGGAAATGCCCTGAAGTTCCAGGATAGAAATGATGTAACATTATTCTGCCTAGATTGCATCCTCAATGTAGAAAAAAGGTATTTGAGGTAGTATTTCCTAAATGAGGTCCCAAAGGTGAGGGCTGGGACATAAGCCCTATTCTGAGCACAAAAGAAACCAGGCATTTATTGTATTGAACTGTTTACTTCTCTGTTTTTGTTATATTCAATTTTCACTTGGTAATCTGGTATAAAATCCTTAAAACAAAAAGCCGGTGTCTTTGGAGACAGAAAGGAAAAATGGAAGCTGGAAAGAGCATGTTTGCCAGAGAAGTGGTTCCAGAACAAATCTAACAAAAAGAACAAACAGGAAACTTACAGAAAAAAAACAAAAAACAAACAGTCCAGTGTGGTAGTGTGTGCCTGTAGTCCCAACTACTCAGGAGGCTAAGGCTGCAGTGACCCAAGATCATGTCACTGCACTCCAGCCTGGGCATAGGAGCAAAACCCCTCAAGACCCTTTAAAAAACAAAACAAGAGACAGGGGGACTAGCCGTGGTGAAGAAGGAATCCCTGGAGCCAACCTTTTTCTGTGTCATGTCCTTGCAGCGACTATAGGAAGTAGAGAGCTACCAGATCTAGTCACTGCTGTGGGAGAAGACAGTTGAGTCTAAGACTCTAAGCAAGCATCATCGCGTCCGACTACTAGAGAACTCTCACCCTTTGCCTACTGTCATTTCCATATTTCCCTCTTATCAACTGTGTGGCATACCATAGTCAGTGTATTCTGGTAGGAAAGACAAGCCTATGCATGGGTGCAGTACTAAAAACGCTCTGAAGAGCTTTCAAAAAGTTTTCAAACTACACAGCCCCTAATCTCCATATCCAATAGGTTTAGAAGACTATCCATTTTCAGTTGATTTTAAATATCTGAGAGCGATCTGAAGAAAAAGTTTAAATAAGGCTCATGTTTCAATCATAGGCCAAAAAAAAAAAAATCTCAACTATAAAACTCTCATTGTTTTATTGGATTTTTCACAAGAACAAGTCATGTCTAAGAACTTTCATTTATTTTTTTTTTGGAAACGCATTTGAAAACTCTGACATAAGATACTTAACAAAATTTTAAAAAACAAAAAAACAAAAAACTTTGGGTGGATGCTATCAGATAGTAGCTGAAGAGAATTTGGGGAATTCTGAGAAACCTGTACTTGGTTCTTCGTCTCCCAAGTCCCCTGGTAAGTCATTTCAGGACTGTGAAAAACCACTATGAATACCTAAGTCTAGACCAAAGCTGTCCAATAATATACAACGCTCCAAAAACATAATTTAAAATTTAAAAAGTAAAAGAAACTTCTGGTATTAATTTTAATATATTTTCTTCAATATATCCAAGTTATTTCATGTGTAATCTATTTAAAATTTTGAGCTATTTTATCTTCCTGTATTTCTTATTAAATCCACGAAATTCCGTGTATATTTTATACTTAGAGCAAATTTCCATTTGAACTAGTCACGTTTCAAGTGTTCTTACTGGCTAAAGGCTGGGCAGCAGAGATCTATACAAATCGAGGCATGCCTAGATCTTCTCAGGATTCTTAGGTGCAGAGATGAGGCAGGCTCATTTCTTGAATAGGAACCCTCCAATGATTCTCATATACACCTTACCTTAAGGCCCAAATTAATTTTTTCTTTTTTTTGAGAGAGAGTCTTTGTTGCCCAGGCTGGAGTGCAGTGGCCCTATCTCAGCTCACTGCAACCTCCCCCTCCCAGGTTAAGGCGATTATCATGCCTCAGCCTCCCGAATAGCTGCGATTACAGGCATGCACCACCACACCCAGGTAATTTTGTATTTTTAGTAGAGACTGGGGTTTCACCCTGTTGGCTAGGCTGGTCTCCAACTCCCGACCTCAGGTGATCCGCCCGCCGTGGCCTCCCCAAAGTGCTGGTATTACAGGCGTGAGACACCATGCCCCGCCACCAAATTAGTTTTCAACAATACTTTTGCCTAGGATCAGATAACACTATGAGTTAAAAAAAGCTTTGCCCAAGTTATGAAGGTCCACTCTTTTGTCCAGAAGAGCTGTACCAGCCTGTTGGACGTCCTATTAATCGACGGCTACCACACTTCTCTCTCTCTAGAAAAAGAATTCTAACCCGAATTCTAATCATCGTTAAACCCACGAAGGCCCGCTACTCCTTTGACTGTCGTTTGTCGTTCGGCTGAACCTATCTCTTCACGGTCAGCGTCCTCACCAAGCTCACAGCCTGCCACGACCCACGGTCCCGTTTCCCTCTTACAGAGTGCGGCGCTGACGCCGCAAGGCCACTTCTACTGCTCCCGACCACGGTCCGTTTCCCGCTAGAGCAGCCCAGTGCTTTCTGCCCCTCGGAATCCCGGGGCGTGTCTCCTGGGGGTCGGCGTCCTCTCCCGGAGCGGTGACCTTTTCTTTTCGCCTCTGCAGGCGTCTTAACCAATTCAAGTCATGAGTGGGACCCGGGGCGCTTTGAGTGTGGGGAGAAAAGGCGAGCCCCTTAGCCCCTCAGCCCACCTGACCCCAGCCCCTACCTGGCGGGGTGCGACCCCCCAGTCTCCCCGCGGGGGCCCTGCGCGCCCCGCCCCGTCGTCGCCACCGCCCCTCGGGGGCCGGGCGCCCTGGAGCTCCTCCCCTGGCCCCCGCCGCACAGGCGGCGGCGGCAGCAGCAGCTGCGGTGGCTCGCCAGTCTCCAGGCCTCGGTCCTCTTGCTCCAGGCCGCCCGGGGCGCTGTTGTCCCCGCTGTCGCGGCGCTTGCTGGGCGATGCTGAGGGCTCTGCCATGGTCCCTGCGTCGATTTTGCGCTTTCGGTGCTGTTCCGGTACGCCGAGGGGCTGCCCAGGATGCGCGGCCCCGGGCGGCCGGATCCAGAGAGGCGGTGGCGGCGGCTGCTCAGGGAAGTCGCAGAGCAGGAGCCGCTTCCAAGGCACGTGGAACGTCACCGGCTCGGCCGCACGCCGCTTGGCCATGGGCCCAGAGGCTCGGGCGGAGCCCGCCAGGCGCGGGAGACCGATCGCCGATAGCTGTGGGGGCGAAGAGCGAGGACTGAGCGCGTGAGGGAGGGACAGGCCGAAGTCGGGCGAGGAGGCGACAGGACGCTGGAGGGGGCGGGGCAGCTCGTGCTCCGGCTAGGGTTGGGGCTTCGGCCGGGAGGCAGCTCGCGCGCGCAGCCCTTGCAGCTGCAGAGATACTGCCCGGACGTTGAGAAGCAACCGCGAAGCGGCGGAGATTCGAACCTGCGCACAACGTGCGCGCGCGCACTCTCTCCTGCCAGGCGGAGCCGCTGGTTGGTGGAGGCTCGCGGGGCGCGCTCCCGAGCGCCCTCGCGACCGGAAGTGCGCGCCCGGAGGTAGGCGGGAAGGCGGCGGCGGGCTTAAAGACCCGATCTAGTGGCCCGCAGAGGGGCGTGACCTTCTTTCCTCAAGGGCGTGGCGGTGATCTTACTACTACGTTCGGCATAGTGCGGTACGTTCTAGACACTTCTATAGGAAATTTAAGTCCTTTAAAATGTGTATTTCCCTACTCCAGTCAGTGAGGACGGGGGTGCGCCTCCATGAGATTAAGACAAAGATAATAGAGTTCCAGACTATTCTGAGCAACATAGCAAGACCTCGTCTCTACACGAAAATTAGGCCAGTCTTGGTGGCCTGACTCTGTGGTCTCAGCTACTTGGGAGGCTGAGGAGGAAGATTCAGTTGAGCCCGGGAGGGGGAGCCTGCAGTGAGCCAAGATAGCACCACTACACTCCAGCCTGGGCGACAGAGTGAGACTCCGTCCCCCAAAAAGAAAAGAATACAAACTCTCAATAAACTAGTGTTTAAAAGGCTTTACAATAGGTAATTATTCAAATGACTGAAGGGGAGTCCAGGCTAAGTAGCAAAAGCTAACGTAAAACACACACACGCACACATCGAAGTGTATGTTTTGCACAGCTGCTGTGGAAGGTGAAGCAGGCACCACATTCCTGGAAGATCTCTTGATTAAAAACTTTACGGAGGAAGTTATAGACAAGATGTGCAGCTCATCCAAAATAGCTGGGTAGTTGGCAAGAACCAAGCCTGAGGCACAGCTCCTGTCCTTTCCAGCTGAAACCTAAAATTGTTGGGCTCTTAAATTAGGTTGGAAGCCTGAGTTCCCTGCTTACTCTGGGCGGTGGTCTGATCAAGATTCCAAGACCATTACAGCAAAATAGTGTCAAGTGAAGTGAGGTGGAGACAACCGCAGTATATTTACTATTTTATTATTATTATTTTTATTTTTGAGACAGTGTTTTTCTTGGTAGCTGAGGCAGGAGAGCAGTGGTGCCATCATGGCTCATTGCAGCCTGCCCCCACTGGGCTCAAGCGATCCTTCTGCCTGGGCTTCCCGAAGTGCTTCCTTTTGCAGGTGTGAGCCACCGCACCTGGCCATATTTACTATTTTAATAGTTTGATAAAGACAGTAACCAAGTAAGCAAAAGTGGAAGGCAGAAAATAAGTCTATTATCAGTGCTTTGAAGGGAGAAATTACTATCATCATCTTCTGTAGAAGATAATTCTATTCTAGTGCTAGGTACTAACTCACTGCTAATTACTCTGTGCCCCTGCACCTCAAAGTGGTTGTGAGAGGACAAGTTGATTATTTAGTTATTAACAAGCACAGAAATCTACCAGATTAGGGTAGTAAGCAATAGCTTTTCTGTTTGATCTTTACTTTTCTTGTTTGAAATTGATAACAGGCTGGGTATGGTGGCTCACACCTGTAATGGCAACACTTTGGTAAGTAGAGGTGGGCGGATCATCTGAGTCCCAGAGTTCCATACCAGCCTGGCCAACATGGTGAAACCCTGTCTCTACAAAAAATATAACAATTAGCCCGAGGTGGTGCCTTGCACCTGTAGGCGCTGGGAGGCTGAAGTGGGAGGAACACTTGAACCCAGGAGGCAGAGGCCAAGATTGTGCCAATGTACTCCAGCCTGGGTGACAGTGTGAGACCCTGTCTCTGGGAAAAAAATAAATTGAAAACCCATCTGTCTCAAACAGAGGAAGAGTTTTGCCATTTTTAAATCAGCAGGAAAGATCTTAATGGTAGCCATCAGGTGCTGTTGAAAGGGTGTGAGGGGGCCTGTCTCAAAATAGTCAGTGTGGTTTACCTAATGGTTGATTCTTTTGTGTTCCTCTTTACAGATTTGTTTTTTCAAAATTGTGAAATTTATCATATATGCAAAAGGTTGTATAAAATACACATATAGTTAAAAGAATGATAGTAATACACAACAGCATTCTGTTTCAGAAATAGAATACTGCCTGTACTAGAACATGACAAGCTCCCTATGCACCCATTCCCCACTGGCACATATCCTTCCTTTTCCCTCATTCCCGATAATTACTGTTTTGAATGTTGAGTTAATCATTCCTTTGCTTTTTAACTTCTCCATCTGTATGCATATTGCTAAATAACGTTTTTTTTTTTGTTTGTTTTTTTTTTTTTTTTTTTTTCAGTTGGGGGCTTGCCCTGTTTCCCCAGCAGGCTAGCAGTGATGCAATTACAGCTTACTGCAGCCCTGACCTCCTAGAGTCAAGCAATCCTCCCACCTCAGCCTCCTGAGTAGCTGAGGCTACAGGTTTACACCACCACACCCAGCTAATTTTTAAAATTTTTTTGTAGAGCCGAGGTTTTGCCAAGTCACCCAGGCTAGTCTCAAAGTCCTGAACTCAAGCAGTCCGCCTGCCTTGGCATCCCAAAGTGTTGGTATTACAGGCATGAGCCACCACGCCCAACTTAATACATTTTTTGAAACAGGGTCTTGCTCTGTCGCCCAGGCTGGAATGTAGTGGTGTGATCACTGCTTACTGCAGCTTCAGCTTCCTGGCCTCAAGCAGTCCTCCTGCCTCAGTCTCCCAAGTAGCTGGGCCTACAGCTTGTGCCACCACACCCAGCTAATTTTTTATTTTAGTAGAGACAAGTTCTCACTATGTTGCTCAGGCTTGTTTTGCCTTTTTTTTTTTTTTTTTTTTTTTTTTTTTTAAACAGCTTTACCTAGGTCTAAATGACATACAATAATTAGCATATAAAGTGTACAATTTGATATTCATACACTTGTGAAACCATAATCACAATCAAGACAATCAAAGTTTTGAGAGCAGCCTCTGACATCTTGTTCAGGAGTATGTCAACTATACTTGGCCCTTTGTTCTTCCATGATAGCATCCTCTGTAACATTTTGTTACCCTTTTGAAATTTTGATTATAATTGCATTGAAATCATAGATCAATTTGGGAAGAATTGTTATCTTTACAATATCAAACTCACTTCCTGTTCAAGAATATAACTCTAAAGTTTTTTTTTAATCTCTGAATAAAGTTTTATATAGCTCACCATAAAGAGCTTATATCTTTGTTTAGTGTATCCCTAACTACTTTATAATTTTTGTAGACAATCTTTTTTTCTTTTTAAATAACTTTTTCTGAGGTTTTTTTTTTTTTTTTTTTTTTTTTTTTGCTGCTCTGGGTTCTTTTTTTTAAAGGCCTGGAAGTAGAATTTGAAATTAGTTTACCCTAAGTTGTAAATAGTACCAGATCTACTTATTCAAGGAACTTGTCCATTTCATTCATCAAATTTGTTGGAATATTTTCTTAGTTTCTCTTTTTCCCATTTCATTGGTTTCTACTAAATTGGGATTTACTTTGCTCCTCTTTCTCTGGCTTCTTCTGATAGAACCTAAGGTCATTGATATTTTAGTCTTTGTTAGTTTTTCTTTTCTTTCTTTCTTTTTTTTTTTTTTTTTCGAGATTGAGTCTCCGTCTTTTGCCCAGACTGGAGTGAAGTGGCACGATCTTAGCTGACAGCAGCCTCCGCCTCCTAGGTTCAAGTGATTCTCCTGCCTCAGCCTCCTGAGTAGCTGGGACTACAGGCGTGTGCCACTGCACCCGGCTAATTTTTGTATTTTTAGTAGAGATGGCGTTTCGCCATGCTAGCCAGGTTGGTCTCAAACTCCTGAATTTAGGTGATCCGCCCACCTCAGCCTCCCAAACTGCTGGGATTATAGGCATGAGCCACCCGCCAGCCCGTCTTTGTTAGTTTCTAGCATAAACCTTTAAAGCTTTAACTTTCCCTGTAACACTGCTTTGGCTGCATCCTACAAAGTTTGGTATGTTGTATTTTCATTATCTTTCAGTTGGAAATACTTTCAAAATTTCTTGTTAACTCTGTGTCCTTCCTATTGTTCTGAATTTCATTTTAAGTTAGCCGATTGGCATTTACTTAGCTATACCTCTTTAAATTAATAATGCGATTTCTCTAAGGACTGTTCATATACATCTTTATTTTTTCACGGTCTCCTTCAAGCTAACATTGTACCACTTCATGTAAAACATAAACACCTTGCACCCCTCCCCCTGTCCTATCCAAATGCATTTTTTATTGACCTAATAGGATCTTCCACCTATTCTACTTTTCCTGTAATTTTGTGGATAATGACTTAGAAGTCATTAGTTACAACAAAGCAACAAAGAAGGGAAACTTCTTTTCTTCCTAAAAGGATTTCCTTAAAAAAGGAAAACCTGCCGGGCACGGTGGCTCAAGCCTGTAATCCCAGCACTTTGAGAGGCCGAGGCGGGTGGATCACGAGGTCAAGAGATCGAGACCATCCTGGTCAACATGGTGAAACCCCGTCTCTACTAAAAATACAAAAAATTAGCTGGGCATGGTGGCACGTGCCTGTAATCCCAGCTACTCAGGAGGCTGAGGCAGGAGAATTGCCTGAACCCAGAAGGCGGAGGTTGCGGTGAGCCGAGATCGCACCATTGCACTCCAGCCTGGGTAACAAGAGCGAAACTCCATCTCAAAAAAAAAAAAAAAAAAAAAAAAGGAAAACCTACTCACAAATTTATTCTGCTTATCTTTAAAACTTGGATGTTTCAGACTAATTGAAGCCTCACAGCAGTATAGGGTAGGGACGTAGTTTAAAATTTTTTAATTGCCAGACCTTTTACATATCTCAGTTGATCCCAAAAACTTTGGGGAAGATTATTGCCAGCTAAACAGATAAACACCTCTTCTCTGCTCATCAGACCCATGTAACTTCTCAAGAGTCTACCTTAACCACCTTATTTAAAATTGCAACTCACTCTACATTTTTCCTGACTCTTAATTCCCCTCCTCCTTTTCCCTGATAGCATGACTACTTTCTAATCTATTATATATTTCGCTTACTTATTACTCTTATTGTCTCCCTTTCTAGAAAGTAAGCTCCTTGAAGGTAGGGTTCCAGATTGCTTTTTGGGTTTTATCCCCACTCATACTTAAAGTGCCTAGCATGTTAGGTGCTAAGTAAATACTTGTTGGACGAATGAGTGTCCATTATTTCCACTTGGGTGTTCCATAGGCATCTCATATTCCATCCTCCACTGTCATCAGTCATCTATTCAGGTATTTATACCAGAAATATAATTGTGTTCTTTCACAATCATGTTCACACAATTTATTCTTTGAATACATATTTTGAGCATCTGCTACAGACCAGGCAAAATTTCTAGACACTGGGGTTACAACAATAAGCAAAACAAAAATCCCTGCCCATGACTATCCAGGGAATCTTATCTTGGGGGAGATAGATTAATAAGGACATCTATCAGGTGGTGCTGAGGAAATATAAAAATAAAGCAGGATAAGAGGGATAGGTGGTTAAGATGGGCATCTCTGACAAGACTTGGACAAAGACCTGAGGCAAGTGAGGGGGCAAATCGTGTGATCCTAGTCAGACGTAATAGCAAGTACGAATGTCCAAAAG